GACATTCCATCAATTTTTCCTGCAGTCCTTGTAAGTATTCTGCGTATGATTCGTTATTTGTATCTATCAACAGAGGGTCTGCTGAAGGTAGTCGGGCCAAATTTCCAAAAACTAACTCATGGGGCGTAAACGAGGTTCCCTCGTGCATACTGGTATTATAGCTAAACATAGCATAATCTAGCCATTCATCCCAGTCCTGCCTGCGAGAAAACTGTTTCAAATATTCAGCTAACACTAGATGTGATCTCTCAATGGATCCGTTGCTCTGCGGGCGAAAAGCAGTGGTATGGAACTGTGCTATCTTAAATTTCTTGGCTATCGTTTTCATGAGGGAGCTCATGAAGTTCGTTCCCTGGTCCGTAAGGATGGCTTTTGGGGCACCGAAACGGCATATCCAGGTTTTGATGAAGGCGTCAGCTGTGTTCGCGGTTGTCGGCTGCCTCATTGGTGCGGCAAGAGAGTATTTGGTCAATAAATCTTGCATGGTCAGGATATACGAGTAACCGGAGCGTGTTGTTGGGATGGGTCCTACCACGTCGAGTGAAACCTTATCGAAAGCTCTTCCGGGGGTGTCCGTAATCGTCAGTGGTGCCCGAGTCTTCCTTCTTGTTAATTTCAGGATCTGGCAGCTTCGACACTGGTTTACGAATGCCTGTATGTCTGCCTTCAGTGATGGCCAAAAATACCTCTCCCTGATTCTAGCATATGTCTTCGTGATCCCCTTGTGTCCAGCTACTGCCGAGACGTGGTGTTCCCGAATAATATCCTGCCTTTGTGCTGTCCGTGGTATTTTAATTTCATTAGTACACGTAGTAATGTGTATGGAGGTTCCAGTATATATATCTGCCAAGGTCCTCCTGATATACTGCCACGGAATGTCGTCAATTGTTGTGCGTGATATACTGAATGATTCTAAAGACAGCTGTGTGGTTATGTCATGCAATGATCTTAATGCTTCCAATAGGTCATCTGAATTGACAGAGTGAGATGTATCCTCTTTTATGGGTAGTAGAATTAAGCGATGTCGTCCTAAGTCCGATGGTCTTCCTCTGCCAATCATTAGCCCTTCGTGGTGGGGAAGTTTCCCCAAATTTGCCAAATCGATTCCTCCGGCGTCTAAAGGCTGACCGTTCAGCGCAACAAAACATACCAGATTATCTGCTCTCATGATCAGCCTGTCTCGTACTGTTTTGAAGGCAGGAAACTGTTGTTCTTCTTCCGGTTCTTCCATCGTAGCTTCTTCCAGAGCAATTGGTGGTACAGTTGGCGAAACATCTCCTTGAGTTTCGGGAGGGAAGGATGGTGGTGTCGATGATGGTTCTGATGAGGAGTATAGCTCTTGAATCGGAGCAGGTGGCTGTGAGGTACTTGGAGCTGAGTGAGAAGGAACCACTTGTGTATCTCCTTGTGGGCCTCGAGTTCGTAGCCCGAAACTGGGGTCGTCTGAAGTGTCTTCCGATGAATCCAATTGAATGGGGAAGATCCCTACTGGATTGCGAGATAGGGCATCAGCATTCAGGTTTGCTTTGCCCGCCTTATAATGAATCTCATACTCGTACTCAGATAGCTTTAGTCTCCATCTCAGAAGGCGGGAGGTTGGATCCTTAACAGAATTGACCCATACCAAAGGCCGATGGTCGGTGATGAGATTAAATTTTGTTCCGTAGACATAGGGCCGGAAGTGTTGTACGCAGTAGACTATTGCTAAAAACTCTTTCTCTATTGTTGAGTAATTTAACTCTGCCCCGTGGAGTAGACGTGAAACGTAGGCTATCGGTCGGTCTTGTCCTATCTTGCCTTGGCTTAATACCCCGCCTATCGCGAAACCGGAGGCGTCTGTAGTTATGTTAAAAGGAACGTTAAAGTTAGGATAACTAAGAACTGGTTCAGTACATAGGGCGTTTCTCAAGGTGTTGAAAGCTCTTTCTTGATCGTCCCCCCATGTGAATTTCTCGTTCTTCTTTAAGAGTGTCGTGAGGGGTTTCGCGATATGTGAAAACTTTTCTATGAACCTACGATAATACCCCGCGAGTCCTAGGAATTCTCGGACGTTTTTCACTGTTTTGGGACGTGGAAACTCTTGTACCGCTTTTACTTTTTCGGGACAGGGTTTGACCCCCTGATCACTGATTACATGGCCTAGATAGGCCACTTCCTTCCGAAGGAAACAGCACTTAGCCGGCTGCAATTTGAGATTAGCAGTTCTTAATCGATCGGCGAGTCGGCGGAATTTAATCTCGTGTTCCTCAAGGGAGCTCGCGTACAATACAATATCGTCGATATAAATGAATAGTTCCGTTCCCTGGAGACCTTGCAGGGCGGCGTCCATGAGTCGCTGGAATGTCGCCGGGGAATTGCGCAGTCCGAAGGGCATGCGTTCGAATTGGTAATGCCCGAACGGAGTCGAAAAGGCGGTTTTCGGGGCATCCTTGGCGCTCATCCCGATTTGATGGAAACCATCCGCCATATCAAACAGGCTAAAATATTTTGCACTCCCGAGCTGGTCTAAGATATCTACGATGTTTGGTAGAGGGTACGCGTCTGGGATAGACTTTTCATTCAATGCTCGGTAGTCAATTACAATTCTCCAGCGTTTGTTTCCCTGCTGGTCAGGTTTCTTGGGTACTACCCATAGGGGGGAATTGTACGGGGATGTCGAAGGGGTAACAATTCCGTCGGACAAAAGTTTGGCCATTTGCTTGTTGATTTCCTCACGATGGATGGGAGGATAGCGGTACTGCCGGACGTGAACTGGGATATTATCGGTGGTGGGGATTTCGTGTTCCACCAGAGTGGTTTTTCCTAAATGGTCTCCAGGTAAGTGGAAAACGTCGTGATAGGTTTTCACGAGCTGGATGACGTGTTCTTTTTCTGCTGAATTTAAATGGCTCATGTCACAGATATCTGTGATTTCCTTAACTCTTTCCTCTAGAGTACGTTCGATGGCAATAGTCCCTACGTGATATTCCTCTGCACAATCGAAGCGGGGTTTTGTGGAGTATTCTAAGATTTCTTCTACATGATATGTAGGGGTGGGCAAGGAGATTTCTTTATCAGTCAGGTTAAGGCATCCTATGAAACTTTGTCCCTCCTTAGCCTTAACCACGGCGTCGAAGGTAACTACCCCTGGAGCGAGTTCCCGTTTAGACACATAGCCTTCGGTGGCTCCTGTAGTATTGATCTGAATCCGAGAAACTGTTCTGGGTGGTAAGTGGATCATCGGTGGGTTTGTCAAGCCTACTACGACGTTGTCCCAAGACATAGTGCCGGATGAAAATGATATTTCTCCCCCTTGCATGAAGAACGTATTACCGATGATGCCCTGGGCAGGCATAACTACTGTTGAACCTACTAGGTGGAATATCGTCGGACGTCCACCTAATTCGATAGTTACTGTTCCCAATGTATATGCTTCCTCAGAGGTGATTCCGCAGATTCGAACAGTGGAGGTTAGATTAATAGGAACGTGAGGATCAACTGCTTCGCCCTTGATTAAGCAGATTTCCGATCCTGAGTCAATAGACAGGGTGGTTCGCCCTGTTAATTGGGGAGATTCTACCTCGACGGCAGGGACAGAAGCACCTAGCGTCAGATTTACCCTAACGACCGGAGGGAGTGTATCGAGATCTTTAGGTATTTCCTGAGGTTGTGAACAAGAGGCTTTATAAGTACTTGCCCGGTTCGAGGTTGAATATCTACATTGATCACGCCTGATCTGTTCGTGGGCTTTGATCGCAGCGTCGATCAAGTGATGCAGAGGTGAAAACCGAAGGTCCCGCACCTCCTTTCGCAAAGTGGGGTGTAGTCCCGAAAAGAAATGATCTCGTATTGTGTCGTTAATCTGGGAGATATTTCCTTGAGTAAATGCGGAGTCTAGAATCTGAGTTCGTAATGAATTTATTCTCCCAACAAAATCAAGGATGTGCTCCCCTTCCTGTTGAAATGTTTGGGATAATATTCCGAGGTAATATTCTAAAGAGTTGACTGAGCCTAACACGCGGCGGAGGCGGAAACATAATTCTTCTACAGATTTAATTTCTAAACCTTCTAGCGCAGCGGCGGCACGCTTCCGGAGTCGGTGTATAATGAGAGTGACTAATGTGTACTCGGCGTGTTCAGGGACAAGGCTCTTGGCTCGACGACAGATGCTTATAAACTCTGATACCGGCGAAGATATACCGTCGTAAAATGGGATAAGAGTTAGAGCCTCTTGTAATGTATAGGTTGCGAGGTTTTGTTCGAAGTAAGGTCCTAGCAACATGGAAGTCATGGTTTTAATTATCCGGTTGAAAGGCGAAATCCAAGTTATTGGAAAGCACGAGGAGAGTGCTGAGTTGAGAAATTTCATGACTATGACGACATGTCTTCCTACTAGTATAAAGTAACTGCTTCAGGGAGTGCCTGCATCTAATGTATCCCACCGCTGTCACCAAATTTGTCACGTCTCAGGCGTGATAGGATTTTGAAAATTTTTAATTTTTTAGAAAAGGAATTATTTTCAGGCTTTCGGCCACGCGGCACTTGCGTCCGTCGTTTAGCCGGGACTCCCACGGATTTAATTTGAAGAAACGTCAGATTTTAATTGATTTTCGAGGTGTTTTAGGAGATAGAACTCGTAATGGGAATTGTTGTGAAGAATGTTTCGAGCGGCGGCAAGGACTTTCAAGGACGTCAGAACGTAATTTCCAGGAATTAGAACGCTGAACGGTTGCACGTGGCTTGATTGGGTTATCTTTAGTTGAAAAACTGGCGGTGGATGTTGCTGCTTGGTGAACCGGCGAAGTATCGCGTTTCGCGTAGCGCGCTTTTACGACCGGACGGACTGTTTGTAACGCGATCCGCGCACTGTGATAAAGTCGATATTTCGTAACTGTGTCCCGAAGCTCCGACGATACTATTACTTTCCGCTGCGGAGTTTAAACTGCCTTAGTGTTCTATGTTACTGGAATTCTTTTATACCACGACGCGGTTCCCCGTTTCCTATTTTGTGCTCGTTGGCGTTTCGGATAAACGGGTAAATGAAATAGAATAAGGGACACTGAACTAAAACCCAAACGGTTAAGCAAAACTGAAAACTGAGTACAGTTACGCGTAGACCCGTGTTTATGATCCTCAGGTAACACAGGAAAGGACAATGTGCGGCGCGTCCAGACACCAGAGTCCTTGTAGGGTATAGGAACGAAGTGTGCGGCGCGTCCAGACACCACTTCAGGTTTATGTGAGAATTGAAGGAGATCGACAGCGTGCGGCGCGTCCAGACACCACTGCGATTTTAGGTTGAAGGTTTTAATTGGATGAAGCGAGCCGAGAATCTCAAACTCGTATTTGGCCTCCGTGAACTTAATATGACAAGCGTGATTCTAACTCTTGAACTTCGCTTTATTCTATTTGGAAACTAACGCGATTTATTAACATTAATTAAATGAGAACGTATTTGGAATATTGGATTAGCAAAGGAATAAAATCAGAATAATTCAAAGTCAACTCTATATATATTGACTGAAGTTTACAAAAATATCTCGCAAATACAAAATAATTCTAAGTGTCTAATGGATAAATCAAGAATAGTTTAAGTATTGAAATCGAAAATAATTCTAAGTACGAATAGCTAAGATTGAAAATATTTCTAAGTTCGAATTAGAGAAATGGAAATAATTCTAAGTTCTTATACGCGGAAATTGAAATAATTCTAAGTTCAGAATATGCCAGAGCTTAGGAAAATAATTCGAAGTGACTCCTTGCGCGAGTCAGAGTGACGTGACCTAGCCGTAGGTCAGAGGTCGACGAGAATTGGAATTAGAATGCGATGCTAATGAGTGACTCCGTGGCTTTTTATACAATTTTTCCCGGAGGTGGGAGTAGTGCCTAGAGTGGGGACTACTCTGTACGTTGCAGAGGCTAGCGAGCGACTGGTGGCTCGAGCCTGGTGGGGCGATGCGTGCGCCGCCTGTTGGATTCTGAGTCAACTAGTCCTCTCTCGCTACGCGGTACGGTCGCGTAGTGGGGGTTGCCTGCGTCGCGGAACTACCTGAACCACGGAAAGCGCAACCCGAGCGTCATCGGATGTTCCGCTCGTGGAAATCAGGCGTTTTGAGAATTATACTTTAATTTATTTCGAAGAATGCATGAATATTTTCCATTCCTAAGATGGATTCACGCTTGAGAAATCCGCAGGGCCCGAGGAGAGAGAACTGAACATTTAAATATGTATAGAATTTGAATTTATACTTGGATAAATAGCCACGTGCATTTAAATTAATTGAAATCTACTTTTCTAAAAAATATGCTCTGGAATATCTGAATATTTTAAACGGAAACTTATTATGCGGAACTTACTTCTACAGCGACGATGATGTTTAAATCTAACCATACATAGGATATTAATAAATCATAAATTATAATATAAACAATAATTAATAAACTAACCTAATTCAAGATGACCGCAGGTCGTCACACCTCCCCCCTTACAATGGGAATTTTGAGGGTACTGAAAAATTCCTCGACACTCGCACACAAAATTTTAGCGTCTTTACAATGTTCGATTCATTTTTCACGCACATGTCAGTTTTTTACGTTGATAACGCAACGATTCGAAGCACTTCACGCACTGTTTATTCGTGTCTGTTCGCGCACTTCTAAAGTTTTGAGATCACTTTGGGGCTTGGGGTTTTTAAGGGGCTCACAGTCTTTCATCGCTGTTCTTCAAGTGGGGTTTCTGGGCAATGTTCGATGTTGATCTCGAGGGAGGGTGGGCTGGGAAAAACGCTCGCGATTAACTAATATCGAAAAATTCTAGATAACTACTAAATTATTTTATTTTTGTTTTTGTTTTTAATTTTGTTTTTGGATTTTTGAGATTTTCTGAATTTACTATAACTAATTTACTAAGTCGTATACCTTTTTCGTAGCCTGGTTATATAATATTTTTCAATCAGAATTTGAATTTTTAATACTCAGGAGGATGCTCCTTTACATGATAATATGAATTTAACGGAATGGACGGAGACAAAGGGTCGGGCGGTTCCCCGAGTAAAAATTCATCCTCGCTATAAATTAAATCATCGTCGCTACTATAATAACTAGAGTTTACGCTATTTGACCTATTAAATACATAATAAACGTCTTCTTCCTCGTCTGAATCTGAATATCCTAATCTATCTTCTAAATTTAAAACTATATTTCCGTTAGGTTCGTCGTTTTCGTCTGAGTCTGTATAACTTAACCTATCTTCTATTTCCGGCGCTATATTTTCATTAAATTCATTAAGTTCGCTAATACTATTAGAGGTATAAATGTTATTATTTTCTGTCTCTACTTCACTTATTTCAATATTACTTAACCTAGATACTTCTTC